CAATTTGGAATAATTCAGACAAAAACTAAAATCTTTGGGGCACTCACTTCCTTGATTGCCATACTGAAACCCACAACCAGCAGGCACTATCCTGATATAGCAATATCCGTTATGCTGAATTTCTTTGCCTCTGTCGAGCTGAATGAAACCTTTTTGTAAACATATAGAAGAAGTGTCGCCTAGTACTATACGTTCATTGCGTTATTTTATGCCAGTCTATTGAACTAATTTCACATTTTTTAATATATACTTTCTTACAGACATCCTGGTTTTAAACCTAGACCCTCCTTGTATCCTTTTTAAATCATCACACACAAAAGCATGGTACTCTTTATTAATTAGTAACTAAAACGCAAAAAAGAAAAAAAAAAAACAGAAAAGCAAAAGCTAATTGAAAAAAAATACAGATTATAAACAAAAGAGAAAAACCCAGGACCAAGTCACCTAATGTCAAGTTCCATTACTCCCAAGCATCATCGTGATAATCTGAGAGTTGAATAATTAAGCACTTGAGGGCACTTCCCTGATAGCCTCTCTTAATATAAAAAAGTTTAACTTGCTATAGAGCACCACAACACAGCTGCAGACTTTCCACTAGCTTAGCAATAGTTGTCATGCATACTGAACTTTTTGTCCCTGCTAGCTGGAAGAAACCACTGTTTCATTTTGCCCGGCCATCAATATCAGTAGACAAGAGTCCAAGCATTTTCTAGTTATATCAATATAAAATTAAATCTACGTAAACAGTAGTAGTCAATCCGCATTTTGACTTTTTTTAATGTTACCCTCTGTCTGTTTATCCTTAAAGGATATATAGATATATATAGTTTAACTTTATTGTTACCCCTTGTTTGTTTATCCTTAAGGAAGATGAGATATATATATATATATATATATATATATATATATATATATATATATATATATATATATATATATATAATATATAATAAATTATATTATATAGATATAATATATATATATATATATAATAATATATATATAGCCATGTACATTCCTTGAAGAGGGAAACAGAACACCATGGATACAAATAATGTTTGCTTTCTCTTTTTCTTTACCACTAACTACAAATGCCATTCTTACAAACCAAAGATCAGCGAACCCAATTCTTCAGGGAAAACAACCAAAATTGAAGAGAACGGTAAAACCCCTCTCCAGTCAGTATCCTCTAATATCCCTCAATAAGAATCTCGAGGATACATGTCTGGAAAACGAGTTGTATTAGAAAAATATATTGTAAGGATAAAATTAGATATCCAATGCATGCATATAAATGTCATGCGAGATCCAAACATATAATTTCAAAATTTTGAAATTTATCCATAAAATACACATTCGAAACATATTTTAGAGTGAATTTCCAAAGGTGTTTTCAACAATTTTTATCATTTACATTATTTACAGTAATATAAAAACATTGAGATGACAATAAATCATCTCCCCTCACGTGTAGCCCTCCCCTATCGTCTAGCATCTTTCACTTTTGGTCTACTGTAAAGCAATCAACAATAAAGAGTGAGCGCTAATCTTTCAGTAAGGAATTATTCATTTTATCTAACTATGCTATTTGAGCTTTATTTAAACATATTAGTAACACAATCACACTTATCTTTATTCTACGAGGGATACTTCCCCTTTTATTTTATATAGATATATATATAATATATATATAACACACACTTATCTTTTAATCTAGGGATACTTCCCACTTCTTATTATTATATATTAATATATATATAATATATTATATATATATATATATATATATATATATTTTTTTTTTTTTTTTTTTTTTTTTTTTTTTTGTTTCTATTTCAATGTCTTTCACATCATTTTGTATCTCATCATGGCTATATACATCAATGTGTACACATACAAATAATAGTAACATAGTACAACAGAGAACGCACTCACATGTCATGTATATCTAAAATCAACTAAATCATCTAACTGGGCATAAATCTCATCGCATAATGTAAATACATCATAACTCATGTAATGCTACTAAACGCTATGAACCATTTAATGTCTGAGCTCTGAGCTCGAGATCTTTTGTCTTGACTGTTTCTACATCTTAAGCATTTTATATCACTAGCGTCAAATTCATCTAGAGCTCATATCATCGGGAGGTTTGTTGACGCTTATTTAGCATCTAAAGCATATACTTCATCTTTCCCAACTCGTATACGAGGATATGCTTACAGCGTTTCCCATCATTCTATATGAATCTCTAACAATCTTATGGCATGTAAATACATATTTTGTGAGGCTTATACTTTAATTTCATCTATGGATTCAATCCATTTACATTACCTCTTGCCATATACATCATCTTAAAACATGTTTACATTGCTCTTCATGCCATTTCATACTATTAATCATGCTTGACATCATGTCATGTATATCTTACTTTCAAAGATCATCTAACTAATGGTAAACATATTAGTAGGCATAATTTACAATAATACATAATAATCAATTCTAATCTAAGAAATTGATCATGTTAAATCTTAAACCCTACTAACCAGTTATACTCGGCAATTTTCCATCCGATTTGTAAAACGAATTGACTCCTAGAATAAACATAAAAGTTATAGGTCTGTGCTTAGCTTTCTAATGCTTCAGAATCATCTCATTTCGATTTTTGTAACTCAGTATCTGTCGAAATACTGAAGCAGGGTTAACAAAACCCCTAAGCTACTAAATCCGAATTTTTCATATAACTATGGCCACTCAATTCCTATGACATTAACCATAGGTAACTTGGACCAAATAAACTTAACCGCTTACTACCCCCTTACCACCCAAAAAAACACCCATTAAAATACCCAAAAACCACCCCCTTACCACTTAACCTTACCCCTTAACCAACTACCGACCACCCCCTCCTCCCACCCCCTCCCCCCCCCTTACCCCAATACCACCAACCCTTACCCCCCCTACCCACCCATAACATACCCTACACCAATACAACCCTAAAACACCAACCCCCCTCCCCCCCCCCCCCCCCTCCCCCCCCCCCCCCCTTAACCTCCCCCCCCCCCCCCCCACCCCCCCCCCCCCCCCCCAACTTCACCACCACCCTTCCCCCCTCCCCCCCCCCTTACCCCTCCCCCCCCCCCCCCCCCCCCCCCCCCCCCCCCCCCCAAATAGTCTTTAACATCTTAAAGGAAGTTTAAAATCTCATTCCCATCCATTCATCCATTTGCTATAATATTGTAACTAATGCAAACAACACCTCAACACTTCTAATAGCAACCATTCAACACCATGTGGCCTCCCATACTACAAGTTTTGTCCACAATCAGCATTCATACTTCATTTTTTTCAATCAAACATAACAACTCATAAAACATAAATAGCAATAACTTCATGTACAATGAATTCAAGGCAATAAGTAGAATAATGAGTTAAACATACACTTGTCACAGACACTAATTCTATGCCTTAAACCTTAATTTAAGGTTTCATAAAATAATTTACAAACCCCTAGCATAAACCCTAAAGTCATGGGAGGTTCTTCCTTACCTTTTAAAGAATTCCTCCAACAAATCCTTTGCCTTTAACTTTTTTTACACCTTAATCGTGCTATATAAACATTATACCTCAACATCTACCTCAAATCTTCAAATCACATCAAAACTAAAGTTTTTAATTCTTACCTTAAACCCTTAAAATTGAAGATCCAAGGCTCCTATCTTGTTCTCCTTGAAAAATTAAGCAAAACTCCTTTAAAACTTAGAGAAAGAAAGCTTGTTTCATGGAAGATTTGAGAAATTGGAAGAAATATTGAAGAATAATGTAACGACAAATATATATTATAGAGAAAATATTACGTAAATTAAATTAATATAAAATAATATAAAATGCTCCTTCTCTCCCGCCTTCTCTAAATATTGTTGCTCTCCTCTCTTCATAATATAAAATGCTCTCCTGAAAAATGCGCTCACCCCTCTCCTCTGCGCCTCCCCTCTCTCTCACTAAAATTGATAAATATAAATTGCTTCCCCCCTATGGTCCACTCTCTCTGAAAAAAAAATAATAAAAAAAAAAATATAAATATAATAATATTCTTAATAAAAAAATAACAAAAAATATGCTCTCCTCGAAGACAACAAATAATTAAAAAAAAAAATAATAAAAATAATATATCAAAAATAATATATCTCTCTTCCCCTCGTCTGTTCTGCTCCTCCTTCTCAGCTTCTCCTCCTCTCTCCATCGTACTCTTCTCCTCTTCTCAGCTCTCTTCTCGCCTTCCCTGCTTGAACAATTTCAATCTCATTTAAGTTAGAAAATATTTCATTTATTTTTCAAAATTATGCAATTAGCCCAATTATTATAATTGTATAACTCATAAGTCCTTAATTCTTCATATAAGGGCATTTTGGTAATTTCATACTAGACATAATTATTACTTAATTAATGTCATTAAATGCAATGAAGTCTACTCATCCTTGACTCTTTCAATGCTTATCTATAGGCAAAATGACCATGTTGCCCCTAAGGCCTTTCTATGGATAATTGATTCATACCGTTCCAAATGAATCGACTATTTTGCCGTTAGTTATATTTTATGTTTTTTAACATAAAATTAACATCTAAAGGACTATTTGGAGTTAGGAACATACCTTTGACATCTTGAATATTACAGGAACTTATCCATTCATTGATGGTACTCAACTCTGATCCATCCTTCTTACAGTTGACAAAAATGGCAACCCAAATTTCAGTCTTGGTTTCTTAACAAATTCAGCTTATTGTGGAACCTTCTATTTTTGTGATAGTTAAATTCTTAAGAAGCTCCAATTTATCCATTAATGGAGACATTAATTATCTTCCGCCAGTTGTTATCTGGTCTGCCAATGAAAACTCTCCCGTCAAAGAGAACGCCATTCTTGAACTAACCGCTGGTGGAGATTTGATCTTGAGAGATGTAGATAATCGCCATGTTTGGTCTACCAATACCTCTCACACAAATGTCTTTAGATGTCAATACTGGAAACTTAAAACTTGTTGATGCTAAAGATAAATTCCCCTGGCAGTCCCTTCGTTTCCCAACAAACACATGGCTCCCTGGACAGCGCTTGCGTCTTCACACTCATTTGACCTCTACCGTTAGAGCTTCCAATCTTTCAACAGGCATGTTCTTCATCACCTTGTTGCAGACTAATCTTGGTTTATACGTTAATCTGGGCACTCCACGAAGATATCAAAGTATGGGCATTCAAGGTGGAAAAAAATTTAAATTCAGCGGGAACCGCATAGTGTTCCATGTCTCTAACAATGGTATGCATTACAAAACACACGGGCCACACTTTCTATACTTGAGGCTGGAACCAAACGGGCAACTCAATGTCTATCGAATTGCTCCTGATGGGGAGCCAGAGATTTTTCATCTTGCAGAAGATAAAAAATACGGGAAGTGTATTTACCCGACGAATTGCGGAAATTATGGGGTCTGCTCTGATGATATTTGCAGTTGCCCTGGAGATTCAATATATTTTAAGCAGTTGAATGGTATGGAGAATGGTTTTGGCTTTTCGTATGCAGAAATCACTCCTTTGTCATGCCAAGACATGAAGCTTCACACATGTATAAAGCTTGACGGTGTTACTTACTTTGGATTTGTCCCCCATCTCAACAATATAACAGATGTAGAATGCAAAACTGCATGTCTGAGAAATTGTTCTTGCAAAGCTGCCTTCTTCCAGTACGGAGGCAACCTGTCACTCGGCAACTGTTTTTTGCCAACGGAGCTTTACTCTCTGAGAAGAAGTAAAGAAATGGATTTCCAATATGATGCATTCATCAAGGTACAAATGCCATCACACAAAAAGAAGTCGCCTCAACTTTTATTAGTCACATTGCCTGTTTCTGCTTTCCTAGTTTTGTTTATTGGAGCAAGTTGTCGTTACATTAGATGGAGGAACAAGAAAATTACCCAGGTACATAGGAGAGAAAACTCCAATGACGAATCTTCTCTGCATGTAACCAACATTCTGAGGAAGTTCTCTTTAGAAGATCTGAGATCTGCAACGCAGAATTTCTAGGTTAGGCTTGGTCGCGGAGGGTTTGGATCCGTTTTCAAAGGAATTCTAGATAATACTACTAAAGTTGCAGTGAAACGCTTAGGTTCTGATGTGAAGCAAGGCAAGAAAGAATTCCTATCAGAAGTTGAGACAATAGGCAACATTCACCATTTTAATCTGGTAAGACTTGTTGGTTATTGTGCTCAAAGATCAAATAGACTTTTGGTCTATGAACAAGGCATAGTTTCATACCAAACAGAAAAGAAAAAAATTATAAAAATGAATTTATACGATCACCTGAATGCCATTAGCACCTTTGTATTAGGCACCCTAATCAGATGGTGAAATCAGGCCCGACATTGTGACAATTTGGAATATTCAGAACCAAAAACTAAGAAATCTTTGGGGCACTCACTTCCTTGATTGCCATTACTGAAAACCCACAACGCAGGCACTATCCTGATAATAGCAATATCCGTTATGCTGAATTCTTTGCCTCTGTCGACTGAATGAAACCATTTTTGTAAACATAAGGAAAGAGTGTCGCCTAGTACTATACGTTCATTGCGTATTTTTATGCCAGTCTATTGAATAATTTCACATTTTTTAATATATACTTTCTACAGACATCCTGGTTTTAAAACCTAGACTCCTTGTCATCCTTTTAATTTCATCAACAAAGCATGGTACTCTAATTTTAAGTAACTAAAACGCAGAAAAGAAAAAAAAAAAACAGAAAAGCAAAAGCTAATTGAAAAAAAAAATACGATTTATAAACAAAGAGAAAAACCCAGGACCAAGTCACTGAATGTCTCAGTTCCATTACTTCCATAGCATCAGCTGTGATAATCTGAGAGTTGAATAATTAAGCAACTTAGGGCAACTTCCCTGATAGCCTCTCTTAATATAAAAAAGTTTAACTTGCTATAGAGCACCAAACGCAGGCTGCAGACTTTCCACTAGCTAGTACAATAGTTGTCATGCATACTGAACTTTTTGTCCCTGGCTAGCGGGAAGAAACCACTGTTTCATTTTGCGCCATCAATACTGATACAAGAGTCCAAGCATTTCTAGTTATATCAATATAAAATTAATTCTACGTAAACAGATAAGTCAATCCGCAGTTTGACTTTTTATGTTACCCTCTTGTCTGTTTCCCTTAAAGGATATATAATATATATAAGTTAACCTTTATTGTTACCACTCTTGTTTGTTTATCCTTAAAGGAAGGATATATATATATATATATATATTAGATATATATATATATATAGTATATATATCATGTATATATACGATATATATATATATATATATATATTATATATATATATATATATATAGCCATGTACATTCCTTGAAGAGAGGAAAAGAATCACCATGGAATACAAATAAATGTTTGCTTTCCTCTTTCTTTACCACTATACTACAAATGCCATTCTTACAAACCAAGATCAGCGAACCTCAATTCTTCAGAGGAAAACACCAAAATATTGAAAGGAGGAACGAAACCCCCTCTCCAGTCAGGTATCCTCTGAATATCCCTCAATAAGAATCTCGAGGATACATGTCTGGAAAAGAGTTGTATTTAGAAAAATAGTTGTGTAAGGATAATAATATAATATCCAATGCATCATATAAAATGTCATGCAGTATCCAAACAGATCTTTTCAACAAAATTTTGATAATTTATTCCATAAAATACACATTCGAAACCATATTTATAAGTGTAATATTCCAACAAGGGTTTCACAAATGTTTATCATTTCATTAATTTACAGGAATATAAAACATTGAGAGGACAATAAATCATCTCCCCTCACGTGTCGCCCCCCTTATCTCTTAGCATCTTTCCACTTTGTGCTACTGTAAAGCAAATCACAATAACAGAGTGAGGGCCGCTAATCGTTCAGTCAGGACATTCTTCATTTTATTCTAATATTGCTCTATTTGAGCTTTATTTAAACATATTTAGTAACACATCACTTTCTTTTATATCTAGGATAACTTTCCCCTTTTATTTTATATTATATATATATATAATATAAATAACACTCACTTTCTTTTAATATCTAGTGATACTCCCCTTTTATTTTCATATAGATATCTCTATATCTAGTATATAGTAATCTATATATATATATTATATATATATATTTTTTTTTTTTTTTTTTTGATTTTATTTCTATTCATATGTCTATTCATCCATTTTATCTCATGGCTACTATAACAGCAATGTGTACCACTACAAAGTAGTATGTACGACATGTACCGCAGACGCCATCACGTCATGATATAACATCTAACTCATCTAACTTGGGCATAAATCATGCGGCATAATTGTAAATAACATCATCTACTCATGTAATGCTACTAAACGCATATGAACCATTTATGTTCGTGAGCCGAATCGGACTTTCTTAGCATCTAAGCATTTTTAATATCATCATAGGCCGTCAAATTCCCATCTAGAGCTCCATATCATCGGAGGTGTTGTTACGCGTGAATTTAGCACGTCTACAAGCATATATTCATCTTTCATCGTCTCGTATACGGATGATAGGCTAATGACGCGTTTCCCTCCATTGTTATATGAATCTCTAACATCCTATGGCAGTAAATACATCACTTTTTCGGTGGCTTATACTTAATTCATCTATGATTTTACAATCCATTTACATACCTCTTGCTCATATACATCATCTTAAACATGTTTACATTGCATCTCATCATTAATTCATACCATTAAGTCATGCATTGACATCATGATCATGTATAATCTTTCAAAGATCATCTAATACGAATGTGTAATCATTAGTCATATGGCAGGCTTACAATAATTACATTAATAATCAATTCAAAATCATAAGAAGTTGATCATGTTTAATCTTAAACCCTACTAACACGTTTATACTTCAGGCAATTGTTCCATCCATTTGTAAAAACGAATTGACTCCTAGAATACACTAAAAGTTATAGGTCTTGTCTTTAGCTTTCTAATCTTCAAGAATTCATCTCATTTCGATTTTGTAACTCAAGTTATGGTCGAAATACACTGACAGGTTAAACAAAACCCCAACTTACTAAATCGAATTTTTCATATTAACTATGCCACATCAATTCCTATTGACATTACCATAGTCAACTATGGATCAATAAACTTACCCCCTCCCCCCCCCCCCCCCCCCCCCCAAATAGTCTTTAACTCTTAAGGAAGTAAAATTCTCATTCCCTATATCATCCATTATTGCTATAATAGTAAGCTAATGCAAACAACACCTCAACACTTCTAATAGCAACCATTCAACACCATGTGGCCTCCCATACTACAAGTTTTGCCACAACAGCATTCATACTTCATTTTTTTTCAATCAAACATAAAACTCTAAAACATAAATAGCAATAACTTCATGTACAATGAATCTCAAGGCAATAAGTAGAATAATGAGTTTACTACCTTGTCATCACTAATTCTATGCCTTAAAGCCTTAATTTAAGGTTTCATAAAAATTTACAACCCCTAGCATAAACCCTAAAGTCATGGAGGTTCTTCCTTACCGTTTTTAAAGAATCCTCAACAATCCTTAGCCTTTAACTTTTTTTTACAGCCTTAATGGCTTAAAACGTAATTTTTTTCACGCTTAAGGCATATAACATACCTCAACTCTACCTCAAATCTTCAAATCACATCAAAACTAAAGTTTTTAATTCTTACCTTAAACCCTTAAAATTGAAGATCCAAGGCTCCTATCTTGTTCTCCTTGAAAAATTAAGCAAAACTCCTTTAAAACTTAGAGAAAGAAAGCTTGTTTCATGGAAGATTTGAGAGAATTGGAAAAATATTGAAGAAATGCTCTCCTCTCCTTGGCTTGAACGAATTCCCCCCCGTGTTGGCTTGGATTGAGAATTATATTATATTATTGTATATACTTGCATGAGCGCATGCATGTTTCATAATGTGTTTGGAAATTCGGATGTAATGTATGTGGACGTGCTTTATCTTTCGGATTGAGACCACACGTCTATAGCATCCATCCCCCTCCAGACATTTGCAAGCATTTACATGTAGTCTCACATGCGATGAGTGAGATGATCGGTCTTACTAAACGATTACGATATCCTACCGGCATGACGGATGTCTGATGAGCTCCAGGCAGGATTACACCAGACAGGTATTGGCCTAGGTGCATGGGAATATCAGACAAATATGGGGTTGGGTTGGATTGGATTATCATGTGAGGATATTGGCCTGGGTTGGACTATCAGGCGGACTGTATTATTCGTTCACTAGGCTCCTCAGCTCACTGTTTTAACACCTCTCTACCCCCCCACCCCCGGCGATTGAGAATAGGGTTCATGCGAAGCTTACAGTATGCTCTAGGTTGGCCCACTGACGCATTTTCTTTCGCATGATTATGTAAAACTCTATACCACTTTGATACTATTTTCTGTATTTGGATTTCAATAACCTATTTGTTCAGAACTTTTTAAAAGTATTCAGTTATATTACCTTTTATTTATGTTTTATAGATGACTTTTATGAAATGTTTTCTAAACTATTCACCCTCCTCTCAAAATCCTAATTCCCTAGGAGCGCCCAGATCCCATAGGATAGGAATACCCGAGAGGGGGCGTGACAGTTTTGGTCAAGGTTTTTGATTGGTTATCGAACTTGGAACCTACAATCAACTATAGCTTCTTAAATATTGTCCACGATCATGAGGAATCCCCCAGAGAGACCAGTCCAGGTGATTCATCTCCCATCACGCTTCGGTGCTATCATGGCCAAGAAGATATGTAGAGATGAAATTGTATCTATATTTGTAAAACAAATTGTCATTAGTTATGCAATCACCAAATGTTGCTTTCAAGTGTATCCAATGCATTTATGTTATGATGCTATACTCTTTTCTGAATAGGATTTTATGAACCATCTCTTAAATTGTCTTTTAACAGAAAAAAGGATAACCATTTGTACCTGAATAATAACACTATTATCTATAATCTGGAAGTGCCCGGGT